TTCTTTTTGTGTTGATAAGTGTTTAATATATAAAATTTAATAAGAATATTTTTAAAATATTTTTTTTTTTTTTTTTGTTGTTTGTTGGTGTGGGGGGGGGGGGGGGGGGGGGGGGTAGTCCAGAAGAGGTTGTCAGATCCCCTGTAACTGGAGTTACAGGTGGTAGTGAGCTGTCCAAAGTGGATGCTGGGAACTGAACTCTGGTCCTCTGCAAGAGCAAGCACTCCTAACCACTAAGCTATCTCTCCAGCCCCTTATAGTCACATTTTGTTTGTCCGTTCACCTGTCAGTGACCATATGGATTGTTTTTATATTTTAGGTATTGGGACTAAAGCTGCCAGAAACATGGCAGTGCAACTACTTGAGTCCTGCTTTCAGTTCTTGGGTGAAGACTCAGACGTGAAACTGCTAGATCTTATGGTAATTCTGTTTAAGTTTTTGAGGAACTGTACCATATTACATTCTGACAGCAGAACACAGAGATCCACTTTCTTTAAAGCCTGATCAACACCTGTTGTTTTTTTAAAAAACAATAATCATTCTGATAGGTGTGAGTTCTGTCTTACCTATAGTTTTGATTTGCATTTCTCTAATGATTAGTGACATTAAACATCTTTTCATGTGATTACTGGCCATTTGTATATTTTCTTTGGCCAAACGTCTCCTCAAGTCCTTCGCCTATTTTAAAACGACTGTTTTATTGTTGTGAGTAGGATATGAGCCCTTATTTGATGTTGTCATGAACTGTTTCATTACATACAAACATGGGCAGAGGGTCAGAACACAAAGGCCATTCTAGTTCCTGCTGAGAAGAACAAACCCACTACTCCTTCTAAACTACCTTATTGTCCTCAAAGACGTTTCCTAGACTATCCAAGTGGTGCTACTCCCCGACCCATGTCATGGGAAGACATAGCAGTATGTGGTTGTAGTTTATTAATTTATTTTTAAATTTACTGTTTTGAGACAGAGTCTCACTGTGCAGTCCTAGCTGGCCTAGAACTCCCCATGTAGGCCAGGCTGTCCTTGAACTCACTGAGATCCACAGGTCTCTGCCTCCCAAGTGCCAGGATAAAGGTATGTGCCACCATGCCCCCAGTTCAATGTGTATTTTAAAGACATGGATGTAGAGAAGTGTTCAATTACCCAGAAGGGAAGAAAGTTTTTTTCTTAGTCTGCCACCTGCTCTCCTAACAAGCCTACCTGAGACATGGACACAGGGCAGAACTAATTCTTTGATTCACACCACCTTCAAGCCACAGGTAGCTTTATATACCACCATGGAAGGACTCTGGGCTCCAGAAATACTCTAAAATGATTCTAGGGGCAACCTCCCTGCCCCCCACCCCGCCCCATGGTCTGTTAGCAGGGGAAGTGAGGCTCATTCTCAGTGGTCTTTGGAACTATTCTCTTAGAACCACTACAGATGGATATGTGGAATGTATTACAGAATTCAGCTTAACTAGGGAACCCACTAAACACGGGGGTAGGAAGCACAGACACAACAGAATACCAGATCTGTAACTCACTAGAAGGGCTTGTGTAGTCTTGGTAGTGAAAGGGCAGTGGGGAACATGGCTGCCTTTCTGCACTCAAGTAATGGAGCCTGACCTGGGGAAGGCCTGAGACAGGCAGCAGAAAAGCCCTCATTCAAATTGCACTGGCTCTGCAGGCCCTGTACACTCATGTCTGCCCTCAGAGATCAAGCTTGCTGTGCTGAATTATGGAAAGCTTCTTCTGGTTTCCCTTCTATCCTCAGTGAACTGTATTTTCTCTGCAGCTACCCTAATGTGCTACCTGCTTTCTCTGTGCGCACACACTTGCTCTTCTCTCCACCCTTCTGTCTCCTGTTTTCTCCTTCTTCAACCTGGCAGTTTCTACTCAATCTAGGCATGATCTCCTTAGGGCTGTCTTTCCAGACCAAGAGTGGAACAGGTGCCCCTCTATGTTTCCCTGAACTCAAGGCTACCTCAATGGTGGCCTCAATCTCACTGAGGTGGCAGTCCATTAACTGCTGATCTCATCCAAAGAAGCAACCCAAAATAGTGACTCTTTCATACCTGCATTCTGCACTCCTGGCAGTCTGACATAAAAGATATTTAATGAACAGAAGAGAGAAGGCAACTGCAGGCTCAAGGAAAACCTATTTTTGGGTCTCTTGCACAGTCCCTGGCACTGAATAACTGTTCCTTCTGTGACAGTGCTAGAGAGAAGAGGCTCATCCTGAGAAGGAGATAGCTTGCAAACCAGGCCCGGAATGCGGCTGGCTCATGTGACTCTTGTGAAGGGGCTGAAATGAACTGCTCTGAACTGCTCCTGTAGCTCTGTGCCTGGACCTCCCTCATGCTGTGCTTCTCTCACAGTGGTCTGTGCCTTAAAGAGCAGGGATCAAATCCCAGTTACCAATGTGTCCAACACAGCATATTGCCTAGAGCCTGGCAGAGAGTTAGGGCCCACAGGATGCTCACTGAACAGTAAGAACAAGAGACAGGATTGCGCTGCACTTGGCAATGGCCGGAAGTGAGAGGCTGGAACAAGCTGCACTCACAGTCATCATCCACCTTCCCCACCCACCTTCTGAACATGCCTTAGAGTACAACCAGCTAGGAGCAGTATAAGCAAAGCCTCCAGTAAAGAAAAAAAAGAAAAGAAAAGAAAAGAAAAGAAAAGAAAAGAAAAGAAAAGAAAAGAAAAGAAAAGAAAAAGAAAGAAAGAAGGAAAGAAAGAAAGAAAGGAAGGAAAAAAATAGCTTCTAATTTGAAAGGTGTTTTGTCCTTTTAAATAACTTGTTAATTGACTCTTTACTACAGGTCTGGCAGCAAGGCCAGAATGATAATTCAATCAAGCTAGGAGAGTCCAATTTAATCCTTTCCTAACCACAACCTCCTTTTGTCTTGACAGATTAGCTTCGTCCTTGATATTTAATTTTCAGTCCTGCTCTGAGAGACAAAGCAAAGCTTCTGGAATTGTTCCTTTTGCAAATCTCCAGAACCCAGGCCACAGGCCAGGTTAACTTTTATTCTTGAAAACCAATTGTATTGAGGTAATCTGTACACACGAAAAGCTCCCACAGTACTGTTTAACTCGTTTGGATAAATGTACGTAACCGTGCAGCGTGCATATAATTATATGGGTAGATTCCTTCTGAAATCTAGTTCTGAGCCAGAGCCTGTATGGATTTGTGGAGGTATCACCATAATTAGGTTTCAGAGCACTTCAGCCTCTCCTCAAAGCTGCACTGGTCTTATTCTTTACTTGCCAGACCCTCCACTCATTCTTGGCCCCTAGCACCTATGACATATTTTTTACTTTATAGTTTTACATACTTAATAATTAATTTGCTTTTCTGAGACAAAAATCTTAGTATGTACTTCAGAGTGGCCTTAAATTTACCACGTGGCCCAATCTGGCCTCAAATTTTCAACACTGCCTCCGTCTTGCTC